CCTTCAAAATGTAATTTTCTCCTAAAACGTAGTAGTCTTCTGGAGTTCCATGCAGCACTTGCATTTTCTTGCTCAGGGTGATATTTATGCAAACGGTCCATGATTTTTTAGAAAGACTGCTCCCTAGAGGCAACTTTGTTGAACTACAGACACTTGCTTTTGGGTGCTAAGAAAATCCGACTGAATCACCTTGGAAAATGGATGCGTGCTGGCTGTGGGCAAGAGACCCTAACAACGCTGCACGTGGAGAAAAGAGAAAAGCATTCTGTTATCAGGAGGCTCACAGGCTGACCGGCGTAGGACAAATGAATGTGGTGATTACTAAAGGGAGTCAGGGAGCTAGGCAAATAGGTGGGGGCAGTAGAAGAGATATTACCGAATATTTCCAAGAAGCAGGGTTGGTTAGATGACTTTTGAGGGAGGAGTAGGAAAAAAATAACCGATGTAAATGAAGAGAATGGACACGCTGCCAGATTAAGAACCAGGCCCAGAAGTATGATCTCAAAGTGAAACTGCTCCTGTGAGCTTCTGAGACTAACTATTGGGAGTAGAAAGCTCCATCTTTCTCCTGCGGAGCAGCTGGTGGTTTTGAAGTATTAACCTTACAGTTAGCCTAAGGAGAAACCATTACACCACCAGGGGTCTTACAATGCCATTTTCTAGATACTACTGGAACAGTACCAAGAGCAGTGGTTCTCAACCGTCCTCATGCCGCGACCCTTTAATACAGTTCTTCATGTTGTGGTTACCCCCCACCCCACCATAAAATTATTTTTGTTGCTACTTCATAACCGTAATTTTGTTACTGTTATGAATCGGGGGACCCCTGTGAAAGGGTAGTTTGACCCCCAAAGGGGTCACGACCCACAGGTTGAGAATCGCTGACCTAGAGTTTATTAAATGGATTTTATTTTATAAAAAGTGTTTACTAAAAAAATAATGATTCAATTAATTCTCACTTCATAAAATATGCTTATTTATTCATCTACTTGTGTATTAGGAGCTCTAGTGGCTCAGTGGATTAAGCAGGCTGTTTGAACTTACCAGGCACTCTGGGGCAGAAACGGTTTACAACCTCAGAAACTACTGTGTTCTATCAGGTCACTATGCATTGAAGCTCACTTGAAGGCAGGGGGTTTGTTTTTTTTAATGGAGAAATTCTACCAATATAAACAAATAAAGTATTCTGAATTTCAGTTTATAAATAAACACGGTCACTGGAGTATGATTTTCTACCTATGTATAATGAAAGATGACAATTCCACAGTCATACAGTTCTGTGTTTAAGAAATCCTCTGGGAAAAGATGTTATGTATATGTGTCTGTGTTTGTGCATGTACCAAAGAAAAAGTGAAGCTTTTTTCCCTATCATATATATATATATTTATAATTGATTTAAAAAAACATTTTAAAATTATTTTTTAAAATCTTTTTACTGGGGGCTCATACAACTCTTATCACAATCCATACATACATCAATTGTGTAGAGCACATTTGTACATTCGTTACCCTCATCATTTTCAGAACATATATGCTCTCCACTTAAGCCCCTGGCATCAGCTCCTCATTATATATATTTTTATTGAAGAAATTCATACAATAATATTTCATTAAGTCATACTTCACAATGAGAAATATTGAGTTCAAAGGAGGGAATTAAAAAGAAAACCATTTGGGACACATTTGTATTTTCTTCCTTTTTACCTGATAAGACTTTTCCAGAGAATTCTTTCATTCATTTAATAATAATCTCCCCTCCAGTAATTCTATGGGGTGAGATACACGACTATGACTAGCATGAACTGTAGGTCACCTTTACTTCCTATTCAAATCAAAGCCCTATCTGTGAAGCAGGAAGGGGAAACCTTGCTTTATGCTTCCTATATTGTTGGAAATGAGGTAAACAATATGCTGGTGTCAGAGGCTTGAGATATCACAGGGTAGTCACGTCAACCTAGGCAGGATGGACAGTTTCCCCTTCGGTGATCACGCTGAGAAATAATGAACTGGCTCTGATCTTGTTTCCACTGATACAGCAAGGGATGGCATCCACTGGAGGTATCCACTGCCAGCGAGTGGATTCCAGCTGATCCAAACCAAACCAAACTAAATGCCGAGTGGGTCCTGAGTCATAGCCACCCTATAGGACAGGGTAGAACTGCCCCTGTGGGTTTCTGAGACTGTACCTCTTTATGGGAGTAGAAAGTCCTGTCTTTCTCCCAAAGAGCTGCTGGTGGTTTCAAACTGCTGACCTTGCAGTTAGCAACCCAACGGGTAACCACTATACCATCAGCAGCCCTTTAAAGGGGTTGTGGGACTATAAATCCTTTAAAGTGTTTTATTTTTAACTTTTATTGCTAATTGGATGGTATACAGAGCAGATCACCAGTTTTGCATTCACCAAATTCTTACACTTTTTTGCTTTCTCTTATTCATTGCAATCTCTACGATGTTCTGCCACTTCTCCTACTTCTCGTGCTTCCTGTTTTTATGCCTCCTTCTTTCCATCCCTTTCTGAGTTTTGCTACGGGTGAAATGCTATTCTTTTCATTTTCATTTTTTTGGCTGATTATTTTAAGGTGTGAGACTGTAGGTAGATAAGGGAACAGAAAACCAGGACCATGTGCTGGTGGGCTTGAATGGCTGACCTTGCAGTTACCCGCCCATTGCCTATCCCCCAGGGCCCCCAGGGCCCCTTGATTCGGACTCATAATGACCCCATATGATCCAGAAGAACAGCAACCTGGAGTTTTGGAGACTGTGAATCTTTATGGGAATAGACTGCCATATTGTTCTCCTTCAGAGCAGCAGGTGGGTTCGAACTACTGACCTTGTGTTTAGCAGCCATATATGTAACATACATGTAATTTAATTTATTTTCTGTCTTTGCTGCAGGAGGGATGCATAATTTGTGTCTAGGTAGTTCAGTGGTTCTCAACCTTCCAAATGCTGCGACCCTTTCCTACAGTTCCTTAGGTTGTGGTAAGCCCCAACCAGAAAATTATTTTTGTTGCTACTTCATAACTGTAATTTTGCTACTGTTATGAATCGTAATGTAAATATCTGATAGGCAGGATGTATTTTCATTGTTACAAATTGAACATAATTAAAACATAGTGATAAATTACAAAAACAATATGTAATTATGTATTGTGAAATATTTATTTCTAATGACAAATAAATGAAATTTTGTCTTGAAGCATGGTGTAGCATGGGGAACAGTCTTCACGCTGGGTACTTGTAAGTGGGTGTATCTGCATGTGGGAGGAGCCGCCTGGAGACAATAGAGGAGGGGTGTTTCCGATGGTCTTGGGCAACCCCTGTGAAAGGATCCTTTGATCACCAAAGGGGGCGCAACCCACAGGTTGAGAACCACTGCGCTACATCACTAGAGACCCATCTGTCAGAGGTAGATCTCCTTTTTTGGGGCAGCACCCTGTGTGTATTGACTTAGAGTTAGAACAAAAATGCACAGAAAATGTTCTTACTCTTTTTACAAGTAGTTTCACCTCCTCTAAAGTCTCTTAGTTCAATGCTTAGTGCTGTTATTACTCACTTCTCATTGTATCTTTTCATTTTAAAATTGCATTACGGACTTTATGGAGTGTTAGTGGCATAGTAGATTATGTGTTGGACTGATGACAGCAAGGCCAGAAGTTTAAACCCACCAGTTATTCTAAGGGAGAAGGTTGAGACTCTCTGCTCCTGTAAAAGATGGACAGCCTCAGAGGGTGTTTGAGTGCTATATAGTTAATTGTTTACTGTACAGAAGTCTTAGACTATTTGCTCTAACAGAATGCATTCTTTAAGAGAGAAATACGACATCATGATATGTCACAGAGGCGCATACATGAAAAGTGCTATGTGGTTGGCTGTCGAGTGAGAGTTAAAATGACGGTGGCACCAGGACTCTCTGGCCTTCCCTGTGAATCTCCTCACATTAAAGAGTAGTGAAATATAGTGGAATCTTGGTTTTAAATAATTAACATGATAAGAACTACCAGCGCACATAATTTGGAAAAGATTTAAAAAATTTTTAATTATTAATTTCATCAATTGGGATTAATACATATATCAAATCATTCCATATTTCAGTCATATCCAGCAGAATTGTACATTTGCTACCACAGTTTCTAAACATTCTTTTTCTATAAGGACCCATGATGTCATCACCCCTTTACCCCGCCACCACCTCTGTGTCCCCCGCCCCCCCAAACTATTCCTTATTCCACTTGCTGACTTTATAGGCTCATCGGTCCTGGTTTTCATACTCCAAAAAATTGAAAAACACATACTGCAACTTCAAGGGGGTGGCCCCCAATGAATAGCACTCCTGATGAGAACCCCCCCTAATATGTCCCATCAAAAGCCAAACAAAACAATACAACCCTAGAATGCATAAGACTTTGGAAACCGGATCAGGTCCAGCATGCATCCTAGGGGGAATTTGCTGACAAGTAAGTCAGGCTTCTGCCTTTGACCTTCTAACTCAACTCACCCATGCCCTCTTTTGAGTGACCACTTTCCTCCTCTCCCTCAATTGTGGAGAGAGGGAGTTCACCGGGGGTTTATTTCCTGTATAGTTCCACCAATGAGTCTTGGGTCCCACTGTTCTCTATAGAAGGATATAGGTGGTCTTCTAGAGTGAAAAAGGCACTCTGGGTGAATTTGAATTGCCAGCTTTGCAACTAGTGGCTGAGGGTTTAACCATTTGCACCATCCCGGGGCTCCGTATTCTACATTCACATGTCACAAAACCCACTTTTTGGAAAAATACTTCTCCTGCCCATTGGGAAGTAGCAAAACCTATACAAAGGGCAAAACCCTGTTCTTTCAATGTCAGATGAAGTTCCAGCATGGAACTCAGTGCACTAGTCATATGAGCAGAGGGGACTTCAGTAACGGGCCCCAGCTCGGGAACCGCAGCTAAGGGATTTAGGCCATTCAGTTTCTCACTCTCTAAATTCCTTATCTGTAAAATGAGAGTTGGACACATATGATTGAGATGCCTCAAATTCTATGGTAGTTTTATTCATAAAGGAACAAAATAAAATAAGCAGAAACAGCACAATTATTTCTTTCCAAAAGAATGGAGCCCTGACATATTTATTTCATTTACATTTCCCTACTAGGACATTATAGTTACTGCTATATAGTTTACATATTTTACAGAAATAAATAAAACTCTTGCTAGAATTTATTTCAAGCCAGCCTTGTGCCTACTAAAAATAAGAAATCTACGTGCAGATTTTCATCTCATTCACTCAACAGAAATAGTAACATTAGAAAAAGAATCTTTGCTAATGAACCGCATATTTTGTTGTTTTTTCTTGGTAGGAACTTGAAGCTATCACCCCCAAAGTCTCGTTTCAGGTACAGAACAGAAATAAAAGGTCTATGTAGTCAGGAATCCTGTATTCTTCACCTATAAAGTCACAGGGCCGAGGCCAGCACTTATTAAATAGGAGCTTCTAACTAAATATTTGTTGAACATGTGAATAAATATAGAATAGCATTTGGGAATTATCTGCTTGCTAAAGGAAAGTTCAGTGACTCAGGACAATGAAAGGGATTCAACCATATATCATATATATCTGGCATAATTAGCATGAGTATGGGAAAAATCCCCTGTAAGGGAGAAAAACTCCAATTCTTCCCTCAAGAGCTGTTCCTGCTAGAGGGTTGTCATGTAATTTTTTTTCTATTCTAAATTAATTTACATTTAATGATATAACACAATAAAATGCAATAAAAACTCATCCATATTGATTTATATGCATATGTGCATATATAATATATCATTCCTTTGGATGGAACATTTCCAGAGATGAATTCAGCTGATAAACTCTTTTCCATAAGTATTGCATATTTTGAGAAACTTTAAAAAGAGATCAATGCCTCTATTGATTGGAGTGTCATCTTCTTTTAGAAATGAACATTTCATTCGTTTTCAATTAAACATTTTTACTAGAAATGCCTCTTTAAAGATAAGTATAACTTGTAAATGAAGAGAATGTTGGTTTTTCTAAACCTTCAAGCATAAAGTCACAACGGTTTATATGGCTCATTTTATGGACCTCAAGGTTCCCCACGAATTGTGTGCTATTAGGCAGAATGTCAAAGGATGTACCATATTTTTCTTAAAACTTTTTGGCATATGATGCAAAATTAGAAAAAATTAAAATAGACTGTTTTAAAATACTGTCATATTAACCTTCCAAAAAGGCATGATAAAGAGCAGGGTTGAACCTAGAGGGTTTATCGACTATTAATGTGTTAAGTGTGGCACAATCATTATGCATCTTTGATGTATGTTTGTGATTACTGGATAAAAGATCTCCATATAGAATGCTGATCATAAAGCACTTACTGTGGGGTGTAATGTATGTTGCTGTATTGTGTGACCCTACGTTGAGAGGTCACTGGGGATGTAGAACCAGTGGTTTGGGTTATACGAACATCTGGAGTCACCACTTGAATTTCAGGCCCTAGCAAAATGCTACCACTCATCAATGGCCCCAAACAACCATCAGCCATACTACCGGTGCTCATAGCAGGCACACCAGGACTGGACAGCACCCTCTCAGTATAGATTACATTGTGTGTGTTGGTCAACTCAGCGGGTATGCAAATATTCCCCTGAACATCATAGACGGGTGCCATTACTGTTTCAGTTACGACAACATTGGGTGGAAGCTGAGGATCAAAAACAATTGTAGTGGGCGGAACACACTGATCGGCAGTAGTGTAAGTCTCAGTTACTATAATGTCCCCATGAGCTATGGGGTCAGGCATTGCCATTTCTGCCTGGAACTCAGCCTCTGAAAGAGTCTTTCCTGAAGATTCATTAACAAAGTAGTTAGGGCCAATCAAAGGGAGGTCAGTATTGATAGGTATACAGGCCAAGTGGGAAGGAAATGGCTCAATCTCTGTGTCTAAGCAGATTTCAGCAAGGGTCCTGAATTTTGGATCTAAAGTTTCCATGCAACTCTCATCTAAGTCATCCACAATCCAACTGCAACAACCAATGGAGCCCACAGGAGAGCCTACTCCCTCGTGGTCATAAATGAGCAAGCAGTCATTTGCTGGTCGACCTTCATCTTCATCCGCATAAGCATATGCTTTCTAAAAACGGAAGAAAAATAGGCAATTAGGAGGGGTTTTTTTTCTGTCTCTTTCAAATAATGAAAGAAGATTCTCTACAACAATTAAGAACCCTCTGATCCAGAATGATTTTATGGAATGTACAGAGGAAAAACGTAGTACTTTGATTTGCCTTTTAGGATTAACATTGCATGAAGTTTTAATAAATGCATATCTCTTACTTGACAAGCAAACCATGATGATGTCTACATTTGGTTCATATTTTGAAATGGTGACACATTTCTAAGCTTTTGAATTTATAGGCTTAGTTTGTAAGATGGTCCAGAAATAATAAGTAATCTATTGATGTATGTTCAAATATTAACCGTTTTCTTAAGTAGAGACATTTGGTCAACTGACTGAAAGCATATAAAAAGATGTCAATATTGCTAAGGATCCACGAATTATGCCAACATGCTCAGTGAAGGTGTATGGGACCTGGGAGGAGATGGGTAGGTCCACAGGCCTGGTTTCAGGAACTTCTATTTGATTTGCTGTTTGGGGAGAGATAGTGATGAAAATAAAAATACCCAAATTGATTACTTAAAAGAAATTCAAAATACTGCACTACTCGCCACCCCCCACCCCCAATCAATATTTTATGGTTAGTTGGTGGCTGATGTTTCTCTTAACAACAACACAATTTTGAGAGGGACAGCCTTGCTAAATCATGATGCTATGTGAAGCTTAGGAATTTTACAAATTGAGCCAATATTTCTGTCTTTCTCACAGTGGAGTTTCTATGTAACTTTCTCATCATTTTCTCATCCTTCTATTCTCTCAGTCTTCTTATTCTTATTCCTTTCTGTGCCTGTCCATCTCCGCACGGCTTGTGCTGTCCAGTTCTGATGATTTAGTGGGAAGAATTAGTTCTCCAGGTGTTTTAAAATCTACGTAGGAAGGCTGTGTTCCTGAGGCTTAACTCCCTTCCCTCTCCATCCCATCTCCTTAGTTTCTTTTCCTTCCTTCCTGTTGGAGACTTACTTCATGCCCTATTGGATTAGGATTCTCCTGGCTTTGCTCTCGCTGTGGGAAGCAAAGTAAATAAAAAAGCAGAAGAAAATGGAAGAGAGAAAGATTCTTAAAATTGATCAAAATGGAGACTGAAATCCTAACCCTTTTTCACAGAGTTAAGACCTGTTGCATCAATTGAATAGAATGAGCATCATAGTGGGATCCGGAAAAGGATCCTGCCACAAATTGGCTTTATGTATATATTTTCCAGAGGCATGCATTTTTATTTTCATTCAGGATTTGAATAGGCTTAAGAACAATGGAATATATTTTAAAGAATATTGGCTGTCATTATTATAATTATTTTGTTTACTCATATGCATGTGAAAGTTGGCCATTGAATAAAGAGGACCAAAGTATCAGTGCATTTGAATTGTGGTGCTGGAGAAGAATACTGAAAGTACCACAGACTGCAAACTGATCTGTCTTGGAAGAAGTATGGCCAGAGGGCTCCGTGGAGGGATGACAAGAAGTCACCTTACATTGGACATGTTGTCAGGAGCCACCGGTCCCTGGAGAAGGGCATCGTGTCTGAGTAAAGGAGAAGGGCAGTGTGAGAGATGGAGGAGATGGATGGGCACGGTGGCGGTAGCAATGGGCTCAGGCATGGGAATAGATGTGAGGATGGGGCAGGACAGGGCAGAATTGCGTTCTGCTATGCCAAAGGTTGCCATGGGTTGGAACCGACTGGCTGGCACCTAACAGCAAGTCAGATCTACTTGTGGGTAAGGGATTACCTCGGAGAAATAGCTGTCCAAAAAAGCCATGCTCACGCCTGACTCGGCATATTCCCGCAGGGTTCCTATCGTTGAACTCCGCCTCCTTGTAGCCCCCGCAGCCCCCGGCGCTACAAGGCCCGCAGCTGTTCCCAGAGCGGAGTTGAGCTCCACGCCGGATGCACCTCCTTCAGCGATTGCCCCGCCTGCATAGGTGTTCGTGTAGATTTCTGAAAAGACAGGGTTCTCACGCACTGAGCTTCTTCACAACGCTCTGCAGACCCATCCACGGCGTACCAGCACCGTGACACAGCACAGAGAGGTGCCCGACAACTCGGCAAACAGCCAAACACAGGCAACCCCTAATCGCTAGGCTGTGGGATGAAAACCACAATAACACAAAACTTATGTAAGTGATATCAAGGGAGTCAGCGACAGGGCTTTGCCTTCGCACACAGGCACAAACTCCCCCCCCCCTTCAAGGTGCGCAACTTGAGAAGTGGAGCTGGGGCCAGTGTGTTCCTTCCATGACAGTCTCTGCCAGGGAAACCGGGGCCCATTAACCCACTTGATCCTTCCAAGCAAGACCGATCCTCATTTGCAGAAACCAAAACTCAGGCCTCATTCACCTCAGCATTGGAAGGGAGAGCTGGGCGTTGTAAGGGATAGTAACCTTGTCTGGTTTTCATTGGGAGATTAAGGAGCCATTATTAAGACGTCTCATGTCTGCCCTAGAATTGACATCCTCTCTACTATGTTTAACTATCGCCAAGTGTTTTCCTCGATTCTTAGACAGTCATGGATTAGTAAACTAGGAGAGTATAGGATTGTTTGGGTGAATGCATGTGTGCATTTAATAAATAATCTTCAATTCAATAAATAATCTTAGGAGACCATGTGTTTCTTTTACTTTTCCCTTCTCCTCTTTTTCCTCTCCCTATTCCTCTTTCTCTTCTTCTCCTTATCTTTCCATTCATTTTTACAAATAGCTTATCTCTTCATAACATAAGTAATCGATCCAGTGGCTGCAGCAATGGGCTCAAACATAAGGATGGCTCCGTACAAGGCAGTGTTTCATTCTGTTGCCCAGAGGGCCGCTATGAGTCAGCACTCCCTTGCCAGAACCTAACAACATTACCTGTAAGAGCAACAGTATCCTTAAGTAACACTCCATCAGGCAGTGTGTGTATTGTGTGATGAACACACACACACACACACACAAACACACACACTTTCAGACCATACAACAATGCTTTGAAGGAGGTGCTGTCAGTAGTTCACTTACAAAGACAAGGACATCAAGGCTTAAATCAGTCAAGCATCCCATCCAAGGACTAAGTACTAGCACATGCAGATCTGGAAAACAATCCCAAGCATTCCAGAATCCCTCCCTTTAAGGCCTCTATAATACTTCAGTAGTTTAAGACAGGAAAATGAAGTGCCCACTTCAGACATTCAGCTTCTTCATTATTATCTTCTATGATTGTTACCCGAGGAAATGAATGGACAAGTCCTTCCAAAAATCAGTAAGGGTTCCAATTCCTCCCAAGGCACTAATGTAGTAGGAATGTCGCAAGCTCACCAGCCAGATTTCTTTATAAAGCACTGGCTGTGAATAAAGCTGTGTGGTCAAACCAGAGAACATGCCAATTTTGATATAGGAATACCAAAATTTGTTGACCCTTTTCCTTTCCATCATCAGCACTTAGGAGCGAGCCCTGGTGGCACCCAGGTTAAAGGCACTCAGCTACTGGTCACTGAACTACAAAGGTGTGGCTGTCTGCTTCCTTCAAATCACAGCCTTGGACACGCTACCGGCCATTCTGCCCAGGCCGGGAGTGTAGCCATGAGTCTATAAAGCACTTCTTCATGAGGTGGGTCTTGGGAAATTTTGAAAGTTTTTAAAAGACAAATAGATGTTAGTATCTACTGACCAGAAGAATCTATCCGATCCTGGGTATTAGAGGCTGTCACTGGTACACATATATTTGAGACATCCTGAAACAAAGAAGTACAATTTAAGATAAACGTTTTATATTATTTAAACATCGACATCTGCTAATTTTGTGCAACCTATAGTTGATAAGAAGTGCTGGAGTCCCGTCGAAACAGTGTGTTTCCCTGGAAAGCAGCAGTCTACTCACCCGGTCCTCAGGATGCGCCCCTTCGATCCTCCAAGACTGTATCACTCCTTCTCCCCCTTCCGGCACAGGTGCAAACCTGGTCCCCAGCCCTTCGGGCTGTCTTCGTTTGCAGCAGCATATGAGCAGCAAGAGGGGTGCCACTGTTCATGAAAGGGACCAGGAAGAGTTAAGGGGTTGCCAGGCGGGGGACCACTGACCGAGGGGTCTGCTGACTCCTCCACTCATTACTGTCAATGCTACCTGTCTGATCAATTCCTATTGCAACAAAGTGGGCAGGAGCTGTGTTCAGGAACTATACCTCTAGAAGCATTTCGAGGGGCACAGACTGTTTAAAGTGAGAAAAGCCAGGAAAGCCTGTCAGAAAAGCCTCTTGGTACTTTTCTAGCCCCAACGGATGGCCTTTTCCTTTGCCCTCATCCACATTAACAATTCACTTTGGAAACGGACTCATTGTTGTATTTAGAAACCAGTTTTCAGACCCCTCTGGGGTCTAAGAAGCCTCAGGGGAAGCTAAACTGCATGGAATGTTTTGTCTGAGGGGCTACACATTTTGCACTCACACGAGGGAGGGGGCCCCTCTCTGAGATTTTTGTGTGATGTCCTTGACGTGTCTCCGAGGAAGGCCTGACTTCAGATGTGCTGGAAGAGCCCCAATCTTAAAAGCACACATGTTGCTGGGGAGCTGGTTTCGACTCAGGACAGAGCCCAAGGTCACTCCAGGGAGTTTTCAAGGTTTCATCTTCGGGAGCCAGATCGCCAGGCCTTTCTTCCCAGGCATCTCAGAATGGTTGAGCCACTAACCTTTGGCGTGCAACGGGCGCTTAACCATCTGTGTGACCCCAGGACTTCGATCAAGAGCCCGGGGGAGGTCACTTCCCCCACACTCTTCTTCCCACTTACAAAGACACCAGAGCGAACAGGGTCACCTGACTTCTCAAGACCCCACTGATTCCTCCCTGCCTGTTCCTGGAGGACCAGAGCAGCTCCTGGCGGGGTCCAGGATGCTTTTCCAAGTCTCTCCTTCCACTGTCCACTCCTGGGTGGGCCATCCCCACCTGCACCTCTCCTCGCCTGCGTCTGTGCTGCTGCTTTGCTCCAGATAGTCTTTCCACAGCGGTTCTCAACCTGGGGGTCGAACAACCCTTTCACAGGGGTCACCTGATTCATAACAGTAGCAAAATGACAGTGATGCAGTATCAAAGAAAATCATTGTATGGTTGGGGTGGGGGGCGCGGTCACCACACGAGGAACTGCATGAAAGGGTCGCGGCATGAGGAAGGTTGCGAACCACTGGTCTTTTGGATTTCTCCATACCTATTTTTTCCTACCTCAGGAGAAAGAGCCTCGCTGTTCAGGACCCAGTTCAAAAGCCACTTCTTGCACGACACCCTTCTGAAACTTACCAGTTTGAATTCATGGCTTCTGCCTCTCCACTCTTACAGCATTTGGCTGAAAATTCTCATTGCACATTTATCTTATGCTTTATGATAACCGGCGATTTGTGTGTGGGCGCCATCGATATGGCTCGCATGAACCCTTAGACCTTCTCATCTATCATCCCTGGGGAAGTGCACACCTTGACCTGCCCCTCCGTTGGTGTTGCCAAGGCACGCAAAGCCTTTTCTGTATCAGCACGAAGCTGCCCCTTCAACCCAGTCATCTCACGAGCCTGCCCAATCGCAGGACGGGGCACTTACGGAGCAGCATTAAGAGGCTCAGCACAATCATGGCGATCCCCCCGGGGCCCAGCCTGACGTTCGATTCCCCGAGTCGGTCACCGGTGACAAAGCCATCTCCTCCGTCACTAGTAGCAGAGACGACGTCCCCCGTGTATATGCTGGTGGTACTATAGTACAGGCACGTGTGGTCGCTGTCACAGTCGCAGGCATCTAAGTGCACGATCTGCGGCAGTTCACACGCTCGGTTGAAGCTGTCCGTCACTAAGATGGGGATTTGGTAAGAGCCCGGAAACAAAGGTTGCTTGGCTGTAAGGATTGCGGAGGTCCCTACAAAGGACGAGAGGGAGCCAAAAATAATAAATGAAAATTCTTTGCAGGGTAACCTCTTGAACACCCCAAACTACTTTCAGGCCTTCTTTGTAGGCTGCATTAAACAGAGGCCGGGTGCTTTTGGTCCCCCTAACATTTATAATTCACCGTGCAATGCTGGCTTCTTATAAGATTGTTCTTTCACCAAGTATGTAGGAATCATCTTTCTGATTTTGGAAAAATGGTTAAAACAAAACAAAACACACTTGTTGACATGCCAGATGATTCTAACTCGTGGAGCCCCTGAGTAGAATTGCGCTGGGGGGGAGGGGTCAAGGACTCTGAGTTGGAGGTTTTGAGAGGCCTCTGAAGTGAATTTGAGCTACCAACCTTTAGGTTAGCAACCTGGATGATTCCATTTATTGATTTTAATTTTAAAAACAGTTTGATTGGCATATAATCCACATACCATACCATTCAATGGTTTAAATGTATTAAAATAAGTTGTGCAATCATTACTATAATCAATATTAGAACATTTTCTTCATTCTTGCCCCATTATTATCTGTGCCCCATTTCCCTCCTACCTCCCCTACCATAACCCTAAGGAACTACTAATCTAGTTACTATCTCTATTGGATTGCCTATCCTGGATTTCATTTAAACAAAATCATGCAAAACAAAGCAAAATAAAACGACCCCCCAACAACAAAACAAAACAAAAAACCCTCAATAATAGCAACCAAATAAAACACAGAAAAACCAAAATCCAAGAGAAAGCCAAAGAAAACAGAAACAAGAACAAATAAAAATCAGGTCCAAAGGGGAAAGAAATATGTTAAATGCTAATTAATTATTCCTGGGGGGGTGGGGATAGTGCTGATGAGTTGGACTGCTGGCCTCCAGACCCACAGTTAGAAACTGCTGGTCACTCAGTCACAGAACGAGGAGGGTTTCTACTCCCACCAAGAGTCACAGCCTCAGAAACCCAAAGGGGCAGTTCTACGCTGCCTTCTTGGGTGGCTGTGAGTTGGAATGGCCTTGAGGACTGTGAGTTTGGTTCGTGGGTTGACAAGTCTGCAACCATCCACTTGGCAGTTGTCTGAGAACCAAACTGTCACATCCCTAGTAGTGGTCTGAAGGAGTTCAATGGGAGCTTAATCAGAGGGTGGGCTCAGCAAATGCAATGTAGCTGACCTACGTCCTGGTGAAAAATATTGAAAGTACTGTGGACTGCCAAGAGGACAAATACATGTCGTGCAGAGGTACTGTCAATATGCTCCTTAGCTGCAAGGATGGTGAGATTTCATCTCATGTGCTTTGAACATGTTGTCAGGAGAGACCAGTAACTGGACATCATGCTTGGCAAAGTGGAAGGCCGGGGAAAAAGAGGAAGGCTCTTGAGGTGGGTTAACACAGTGGCTGTGACCGGGGCCTCTAACAGGAGAACAATTGTGAGGCTGGCGCAGGACCGGGAGGGTTTCTTTCTATTGTACTGGGGTCACTATGAGTTGGAATGGACTCAGTGAGATATAACGATAACAACAAGGCGCGTGTAAGTGAGTGAAAAATGAAATCTATTTACAGGCTACCTGTGGTTCAGGGGCCTTTAACTCACATGTCTGAAAGTGTTCCGGATAGTGAATTTTGACATCTATTGAGTTAGTCAAGGGTCTAACTCAAGCTGGCCAAATATTGTTTTTGGATTCACTTATAAAAAGTGATGGATAAACGGCTTTTTGCATACTGTTCTTTGTAATTGCAGTATTGATTAATGATTTTGATTTCTATTCAAAAAATTTCCCTAATGCCTTAGATACAAAAACACCTCAAATTCATTGCCATCCAATCAGTCTCCACTCATAGTGACCCTATAGGGAAGAGTAGAACTGCCCATAAGGTTTCAAATGCTGCAAAAAGCCAGCTGTCACATCTTTGTCCTTCCGGCTGCTGGCAGGGTTTGAACTGCCAACCTTTCAGTTAGCGGCTGAGCACTTAACCACTAACTCTCAGGATTCCCTACCATAAATATAAATGTGATACTTCTTTTCCATTTAATATAACTACGGAAAGATACATGGAAATAGCATCAGAAAACATTATTAAATAATTTGCCATTTTGATAATTCTTTTGCTTTTTGGACTTATATTATGGGCAAGTTTACATTCTACTTACCATTGATGGTTCTGGCATCCCATAAGTCCGCGGTCCCTGGCGGCTCATCCACAACACAGAAAGTAAAGGGAGCCCCATACGCATTGTCGTTAATACCTCTTGCCGAGATAAGGATTGATGGTGAGGCAATGCAGATGGTCCTGCCTTCAGTAAAAACGACCGGACAGTAGTCACTGACATCAGGAATCTCAATGCATATGGTTCCTGTGGCTGTTTTTCCAGAGCCATCTGAAACAGAAAGCATCGTGCAGGTTGGGGTAAATGGTGGCAGGGGGACCATTCTTTTTCATAGCCCATGCTGTTGTCATCAGAGCATGAGCGAGGAGGTGAAGAAGTGCTCCTAGTTCATCAACAGCCTAAAGCCACGATGGCCTTTGACAGCTGTACTGGCTTCTTCTTAGTTCTTTGAACCAACGCTTTCCTGACTTGTGCCCCTCGCTCATTCCATTCACTCTTTCTAACATAAAATGTTTTTTATCTCCTCTCGTTCTGTTAACTTATGCATCTTAAGGTGCAAGTTTAAATGTTTTTTCCTCAAAGAAAATTGAATGTCCTCTAGTCCCGTTTTGTCCCTGTAACTAGACTTTTAGGCTAGCTTCAAGCTCTTTATTTAGAGTGTTCATTCATTGGAATTAAAGAATTGTGTATGCATGTTGTTCCGATTCTTCTGTTTATTTTGAATACTTCCTTGAAATGCATTTCTGAAAAGAAGTATAAATCAATTAGCATTTTCTCCTTAGTTGATCTGAGACAATTGTTAGTTTAATATGGTTTATTCTAAAGGTAACAGGACCAAAACCAGGAGTTCTGGTTTGTAGTCTCTATTTCTACTTTTTAAATTTAGTGTGAGTAAAGTTTTGTTTGTTTTTGTCTGCTTATTTTTATTTTTAAATTGCAAGGAGTCTTCATGTTTTTTTTTATTTGAACATTATCTCTAGGGTATTTTATTATGTCATTTTAAAAATAATTAAAGCACACTTTACAGGTGATTTCTAAAAGTCAAATTAATAGTCATTTATATAATGAATGCTAATGGAATGAATGGAATAAGAGGAAACGAGAGCCTAAACATCTCTGACATGATTTTGTGCAACTTAGATTTGATCTAGCACTTGACTTTGGTACTAAAGTGTCCCTTTCATGTGGGCTCTCTTTAAGGAAGAATCAGATTATCCCATAGATGGTTTTATTTGAAATGTTTTGAGCTTTTGCGACTTTTTAATCCTGCCATGTGGCAGCCAGCCCCTTAGGCTGTGGTTGACAGCGTTTGCCCCTGTGGCATTTGCTGTCTTGCTTTGCCTCTCACTTCATGGCCACGCCCCCTTTGTCTAGCTCATCTGATCATTGGATGGCTTTGTGCTAGGCAGATCCTGTGCCCAGTTTAATAAACTTTGACCCTTGATTTCAGCTTTCTCTCAGTTCGTTTTGAAAGTACTTTCCCTTCCACCCTTCATTCACTCTAAATGACTAGCTTTTACTCTGGTTTTTAATGGAATTCATATATGGCCAATATACAAATATCATGTGTGCTCAAAAGGGTTAGAATTCATTCTTCAAATAGTCCTTCTAGGATATGAACACATGTAAACAAATCTACCACGCAGTAAAACATCATGAGTGTCTGGGTGAATGGTTATACAATTAAAGTAGCTATTAAAAGTTATACCCACAGGATGAAGACCAAGACCAACATATATAGAATCGAATGTCCTGGGCATCATCATGTGTTTATTTTTTGCTTTTGTTCTAAATCTTAAGCTTTTCATTGTTACATTCTCTTTCTTTGGCTACCAGAAAGCTCAGAAATAAACCCATTGCAATCCTGTGGTATGTATTTTGTATGAGCTGTGTATGTAACTGAGCTACCTAGTTTTTCCATTCTTTCCTGGTGACTGACCTTTCTCTGTTGTTTGGTTCTCCAGCGGCTGGGTTTTCAGACATTGCTCAGAGAATCATTAACTATAGACAAATAAACAAATTCCTGTTGCTCCTCACCAAGAAGTACAAATCAATATTCCCACATGAGAGGTGGTTCGATTTAGGTCAGTTCAGTGTCTCATACTTTTCATTGGCTTTGGATCTTATGTTTGGGACAACCGCGTGTTTTCTTGGGCCGTATCCATTGTTTACTTTACATAGTACATCTGAGCAACCATCCTGGCTCTGAAATAACTATACCGTCTCCCCACCGACCCTGTGCCATACGAAGTGTAAGGGAAGATGCCCGACACTCCCTAAGCCCGGTCAGCCATCCGCAGGAGATGAGGTCTTAAACAGAAACCACATTTTATCGATACTGTGTCTGTTTTAACTGTTACACTTCAGAATCATTTTATTGTATGCCACATACAATTCTTTTTGGAAGTAGGCCAAACAAATTATAGCTTGAGAATAAATGATGGTGCTAAATGTAATAAATTTGATTCTTGATCCAAGATGTTTAGAACTCTCCATAAGTCCCTATAACACCACTAAATGTCTTATCTTATTTCAGCCAATTCACTACCAACAAAATAAGAATGTATTATTTTATAAAGTAAAGCTTTTCTTTAAATGTTGACAGTGAGCTTTCTTACCATCGATAGCCAGGATTTCTGCTGTGTATATTCCATTGGTAACATATTTTGATTTCTTGTCCAATTCCCTAGAAAATTGTATTTCACCAGTCCTTGAATCAACTTTTAACCAGCTGCCTGCATCATGTCCTATGATATATCTGTTTTGAAATAAATAAATTCTTCATTAGGATTTTGTGAAAGTTGGTCATTTAACATCACATAAGAGCTATAGTATGTTGAACTTAGCGATGTGCCTTCATGCCTTATGTGAGAATTATCTTGGCTTATAAAAAAATATGTGTAATTATATACTCCATTGAACATATTAATACACATGTTCACAAAAGAGTTTAGAAATGTCATAATTCTTACTCCTTTGGCTATTATAATTCTCAGTATAAATGTATGCATTTATTTCGTGTCTATTGATTAAATCATCACAATATCGAGGGACTGTTATTTGTTCATTTTCACATGTCCTAGATTTTAGCCGTGTCAGCCCAGAGCGCTTTGTTGTGGGCCTGCTCAGGGCCATGGTGTCCTCTGTTCAGCTTGTGTATGTGGGTCTTGCTACCTCTGATGAATGGAAAGTGCTGCTTCTTCACTTTGTTGAAAGAGCTGGTCTTTACCCGAGGTACCATTTCAGCACAATGGTACCATTTATCTCACATGGCCTTTCCTCCATTCCATACTGAAAGATTTCATAAAGCTTTTGAAGTCTGCCAACTTTCCAGCTGACTGAATGTTAAAATTGTTAATATCATTGTAATATCTAAGTCAGTAGATTTTGTTCACTCCAAAGATTATTGGGGAGAAATAGAGGGAAGGGAAGGAGAGACAGATGACCTATATCGTTCATGATAGTTCTTTCCCAGCTATGTAAGGTAGTTCTTACATAGATCTAATTCATGTATGATCTATGTCCTAGTGCCTGAAATAAATACCTACCTCTCGATCTCAAGTCTAGCTCTCTCTCTTTATGCTCATAAGACCCCAGAAACACCTGTGTTTTAGCTTCTTCCATTATCTTTCTCCTCTTTCAGGTGAATCAGAGCATTGAAATTAGCCCAAAGTCACAGGTAAAACGAATAAGCAGTGACTCATCTTTTATGATATCTTACTGTTTACAATTTGACTTAATCAGCCCAGTCCAGCATAGTACAGATGGTCACTAAAGATCAAAGAGACCCCCCAGGGTAACTGTAGGTGGTTTTTTGATGTTTATAATGACTTCCAGGACCAACTTATTCTTCCTATCCACTCAGAGCATTTACAGCTTTTAAAACAGTTCAAAGTTTAAGAAAAGGCAAACGATATAAGTGCCTCCTAAAGTAGATCAGAAAACCAACAAGAAGAGGAAAACAAAACTCTGAACGTAGTATATAACACATGAATTATATACTGTCTGCTGCACTGAGCAGAACTCTGCTTTAGTACCTGACATTCGTTGCTGGGTTTCCTGTGTCCAAGTCCACAGCGGTGTATGTGCCAAGCACATAATTCAGTAAGGAGTCTCCCCTTAATCCTTCTCGCACACTGAAGGTCATGGAGCTTGGATGGAATGTGGGCCCTTCTCTGACATTAACAACCTGAATCCGCACAGGAGTAGAGTGCATTCGGAACTGAGAGGCCACTGAGTGGTGAAATTCAGCCTGGTTTTTAACCCCGATACTGAGCTGAATATTGGGCATTTGTTCATAATCCAGCATCTGAAATGGTGGGGGTGGGGCGAGAGAACACAGAACACCCCTTGAAAGAGCAGTCATGCTAGAAGGAGAAGTCACAACAAGCAAGTAATCTAAAGTTTCCAAGACAAATGAAGCCCCGAGGCTGTGCCGTTCAGATTTCAAATTCACGAAACAGGATTAGTGCATTGGGTGTTTCCGACATGTTATTCTTCGTATCTGCTGTTCTGACTGGGCATAAAGGTCATTTGTGTCTATGACTTTATATTCAACTCAGATTGTGGACGTTTTAAGTTTCTTATATGAAACCCCGGAATAACGAACGACAGTTCTTCCAGAATGAGGTTTTCAGGAAAAATAAACGGCATACATTAAAAAAAATATATTCACAACTAGGAAATGCATTAGCAAATAAGGCCCAGATTTCCTTGTGGAGTTCACATCTGAGAATCTCTCAAAAGTATAATCAGGAGACGAGAGGAGCCAGCATATATGATGTAAGCTGACCTGTAATTATTTTTAAAAACGATGCAAACAACTTCTGAAGGAGAATTCATGATGATTACAGTCAGCCCTGCGCTATAATTTCATTGCGCTGGGCTTGGTGGACTAGACGACTCGGTCTCAGGACACAATCACATAAATCAATACCACTCTCAGGGAAAAGTCCCCCTGAAATGGGCGTCCTGGATAAAAGATGAGTGCTGCCTTTTAACCCAGAGTGATGGATGTGGTGACATGAAAAGACACAAGTTCAAAAGCAGTTGTAAACAAGCCGAGCACTGGATAATGTCTCTGGGGGTTAATGGAAGCACCTCTTGCAACACACTTATCAACAACAGAGGCCAAGATTAGCAGGGGCATCAGTAAGACTGGGCTATATCTCGGCCTCCCAGGGAAACCCCATGATGTCAGGACTGTTTTTGAGGTTTTAGAGCCACATTCTTCAGAAGCGTTGACATGACAGAACATTTTGCTGGGACTTGCTTGGTGTTTTGTTTGGGGCTGCCTTAATATGCCTGACCTGAATTTTAGCTAAAACCCTTGAGCTCAGCATTGGTATTTCTTTTGCACATGTGTCCCCTACCCCAGGCCACATAACACCTGGCACAGCGCTGGAAAGGAAGTATGCACTCAAAATGGAGTTTTCACTTTCTAAAATCTCAAGTAAATGAAAAAAGAAAGAAAGAGAATATCCATTCTGGTCATTAGAGAAATCTCATGAGGTTCTCTTGTGCATACATGCAAATGTGCCGTTTGCTTGTCAGAATAGTTCCCGCCCTCTTGAATTGGCAGCGATGGAGCTATGTGACTGTGGGCATACAATTGTATACATTCCCTATTCATAAGATCTAGGACAAGGAAGTTGACTGAGGGTCAGTCTGTGGGGAACGGCCCTCCAGCAGAGAGAAAGATGAAGAAAGAAAGTCATTCATTTCTTCTTTGCCAGTGGAACCCATCTGCCAAGGTTTTCTGATTGTGCTCAGATTTCAGCGTCATAGGGAGAGCGCTGTGTCTGATAGTGTCTCTTCTTGGAGTTGGATAGAGAGGCTGGAAACCCAGGAATGAGTGGAAACCTGTGTGTGTTAGGCTTTGGCATGAGGCTCAGGAGGGGATGAAGATGGCCCCTTCAGAAGTGGATTTGACTCTTGCTGATCTTTTGCTTCAGATCATTTTAGTATCAAAGGTAAGCTGTTAGAACCATACATTGATTTTTTTCAATTTAATACAACACTGTTAATTCTTGGGGTGGTGGTGTTAGTCAACAACTCAAAACTCACTGCTTTTGAATCGGTGCTGACAGTGTAGAACTGGTTCTGTGGGTTTGCATAGTGGAACTCTTTAGGGGAGTAGGAAGCCCTATCTTTCTCCCTTGGAGTAGCTGGTGGTTTTGAGCTGCTGACCTTGCACTAATAGCCCAACACGTAACCACTGCATCACCTGGGTTCTGGGCCAGGGAGGTGAGATCATTAGTTCATTTTAAAAGTAAGAAAGAGGACATTAGAAACGTCCATGTAAAAGAAGGATGGATTGCAGATGGATATTTTTCCATGACAGAACAAATGGTCAACTATCTGCTGGTTTGTGCAGGCCCTCCTTTCCAGGAAGGGATATTTTCTAGTATCCATGGAGCTGAATGGACTACAAAAGCACAGAAGGTGGGGAAGGAGCTTGTGGAGGTGAACAGATTCGGAGGGTGCGAGTCCCTGTTTGAAACCTGTTTTGCTGGTCCCTGATTACATGGGGATGCACTGCGGGGCGGCAGTTAAGGGTGATTTTGGCATTAGAGAGATGTGAGTTGAATCTTGTCTTTGGCATTAGCCTTCTGTGTGAACTTAGACAAGCCAATTTGCCTTTGATTCCCAGTAATATTTTCTGTAAAAAAGGAATCAAAATATTTTCTTCCCAACAATGGGACAATTAAATGAGATAGGTGGAAAGCCCAGGGTACAATAGTTAGTGTTTTGTGACTACCTTATTAGTACTTCTATGTACATTATCCAGTAAATATCACAAAAAATTTCTTATTGACATTCATAGAAAGTCTTGAATTTTCTCAGAGTCTCTCTTGTTAGACAGTAAGTTTCTTAAGAACTGGGAGCATGTCTCACTCACCAGCATATTCTCAGCCCATCTCAGTTATGAATACATTTAAATTTAACTGTGAATTCTTGGTTATATCCTCAAGCTAACAATAGAGTTCTATAAGACTTAGTCTATCGCCTATGACTGGCGGACCAGTGGTAGTATAGTGGTTCAAGTGTTTAGCTTCTAACAGCAAAGCTGGGGGTTCAAACCCACCAGGCTCTCTAGGGGGAAAGGTGTGGGTATCTGCTTCCTGGAGATGGGGTTTCTGAAACCCTATGGAATAGCGCCACTTTGTCTTATCGGGTTGCTATGAATCAAAATAGACTGAAAGCAGAGGAAATGAAAATATTTTCTAAAATAGATACCTCTTCTTGCTATCTATCACTAAGACTTTAAATTTAATATTAATTACACTTTCTGGGTCATTTTGGTATTTTTAAACATACTTTTCCCCTGCTAGCCTAAGGCACTTGAAAAATTGCCATCCATCAAATATATAATTTATTTCTAAAATATCTGATATTACTTGGACCAGTTTTTCATGAGCTTGACATGCCAATCATTTCCCCCATAAAGTAAGTTTATGTTTCAAAGGCCCTTACTCATCACAGACTAAACATCACATCATAGAGAATACATTGCTTGCAATATTAACATTTACCAATTAAAGAACATTTTTATATGGAAGTCATGAACTACATCAAGCCCCATGCCTCCCACATCTATACCACTGGTGTCAGATAATCTTATCAGCAACACCACCTTCAATGTTTTGTGAGTCTATGTGACATTCTGAAATTACAACAGGTGTTAGAGATACAAAGATATTTAGAACACATTGTTGATGCACAAAGGTCTTAGTACTTCAGTAGTTTTGAAAGCAGATCACAAAGAACAGCTACATATTACAAGGCAAGATGCAAAGCTCAGTGATTAAATGGTAAAAAGACTGATAAGGACTGTATTCTGCTTCTCGTTTGAGCGTCAACCAAAATGCAGGGATCACTGAAGACAAATGGGTGCATAAGCAAATGTGGCGAAGAAAGCTGATGGTGCCTGCCTATCAAAAAGTATAGTGTCTGGGGTCTTAAAGGCTTGAAGGTAATCAAGTGACCATCAAGCTCAGAAGCAACAAAGCCCACATGGAAGAAGCACACCAGCCGATGCAACCACGAGGTGTCGAAGGGATAAAATCTTACCACAATGAAGGGGGTGTGGGGTGTGGAGTAGAGACCCAAAGCCCATTAGTAGGCCACTGGAGATCCCCTTGCAGAGGGGTCTCGGGGAGGAGACGAGCCAGTCAGTGTGTGATGTAGCAACAATGAAAAATACAACTTTCTTCTAGTTCCTAAATGTTTCCTCCCCGCTCCCACTACCATGACTCGGATTTGACCTTGCAAGTCTGGCTAGACCAGAGGATGTACACTGGTACAGTTAGGAACTGGAAATACAGGGAATCCAGGGCGGATGATCCCTACAGGACCAGTGGTGTGAGTGGTGATACTGGGAGGGTAGAGGGAGAGTGGGTAGGAAAGAGGGAACCGATTACAAGGAACTATATGTGACCTCTCCCTGGGGGACGGACAACAGAAAAGTGGGTGGAGGGAGACGTCAGACAGGGCAAGATATGACAAAATAATAATTTATAAATTATCAAGGGCTCATGAGAGAGGGGGGAGTGGGGAAGGAGGGGAAAAAATGAGGGCCTGATGCCGGGGGCTTACGTGGAGAGGAAATGTTTTGAGAATGATGAGGGCAATGAATGTACAAATGCGCTTTATACAATTGATGTATGTATGGATTGTGATAAGAGTTGTATGAGCCCCTAATAAAATGATTAGAAAAAAATAAATATAAAAAAAAGCAAGATTGAAAAGAATTCTGATCCCTGAGATAAAAATGTGACTGAATAGTCAGCATTTGCTCTCGTGGTAGGTGACCTCTTGTGATCCCTGCCCTCCTATCCATGCTCTGTTAGACACTGGCTCTTCTACCCATTCCTTCGTTTCCATTTTCACTGCTGTCACCTTAGATCATATTTTTAACTTGATCAATATCTTATTTCCTTACCGTTAATCTTCCCTACACTGAACTCCCAGTGTTACTTTTATTCTTAATATCCCGGTGCTTTTCTTGATCGGTATTAGTGTTTGACATCTTTTTCTGTTAAAGGCCAGATAGTACATATATTGTGATTTCTGTGCCCTATTTTGTCTCTGTTACAAACATTCAACTCTGCAACTGGAGTGTCGATGCAGCTATAGACAACACATACATGAGTAAATGTTCGAATAAAACTTTGGTTACAGACACAAGTGACGGAGCAGACTGGACCTGCAGGTCATAGTTTGTGGCTTCCTGACCCTGAGCAATGCTTCTCAAATGGAAAGTACAGTGTCTATGCTTGCTGTCCTTGCGTGCCCATTAGGAATTTTAAAAATCTGGAAATTATTTGAAGGGCAATCTTAAAAAGTATACATGCGTAGGTTCCCTAATTTTAACAACCACCACACACATTAACACATGGCATGATGTCAACACTCATGGCTGTTGTATTTTGCGGACAAACAGTAATGCTTTGGATTTATCTACACAACAGAAAAAAGCAACCATGTAGAAAGACTCAAGATAGAAATGATATATTTGCATTAGGTAAGGACTGGAAGGTGTGGATAGAAAAAAGTAGTCACTAAGATCAATAAGCACAATTCACAGTGTATGTCAAACAAAATATTTGAATCTCTCTCTGTGTGTAGCTATGGGCATATATTTTCTTTTTTTTTTTAAGGATCTAAATAGCAAATTTAATTCTTAACATAAAAAGTATCATTATAAATAACAGCTACAAACTGATTTAAAAAAAACCTTAAAAACCACTTCTACTTGTATTATTTCATTAGGGCATAGGTTTTCATAGCTCTAAATGCCATTTGTATTGTTTGAGAATTTTATTTGAGAAAATTTAATAATTTAGCTCGTTGCTGTAATGTTCCCATTGCCTTAATAGTTTTCAGGTTTGCCACTGATTTGTCAATTTATTAGGTATTATTGTAGCCCAAGAAGCAAAAGCATATAGAAGCTAAAGGAAAATTAAATTCCATTGGGAGTGGGGGTTGGGAGCAATGTCCTCAAGCTAAGAAAAGGGTTTTAAAAAGTTTAGCCAAAAGCCCGATGGAGAGGGAGCCAGCAGTAGCATTGGGTTAAGGGCTGGGTTCCCAGCAGGAGTCCAATCCTCCAGGTTCTTTCTGGCATCTGATTGTTTTCATCCCTGCTACCGCCCTACACGCGTGTTCTCCCGGCACTGCACAGGCTTGATGGTGTCTCACCTCAGTGCCCGTGCTAATTCCAATGAAAAAATATTTGCCTCTTGTTTCAATCCCCTTTATTGCATGAAGCTTTTCTTATCTCATTAATTATTTTATGTCTCATCCATTTGGTAATTTGCTTGTTTTGTTTTATAACACCTATAGCACTATTCCATGTGTTGTATTTCTCCTATCAGTATCTGATTTGGGGCGTCTGTCTTGTCTTCTCAACCTGATTTTGAGAACGGAGAGAGCAAAGCAGCCTTCTATGTCTCTGATAGAGTTGCGGGGCTGGGAGCTCAGATTTGGGCAGCACGATTCCTTAAACCAATGCCGTTATAAAGACTTTTCATGGTTAGAGAGTTATTTTTAAAGACAGATTCTGCCTCTTAGAGTGACTTAAAACTTCTTGGAAGAAAATTTGGCAGCTCTCATACTGTACCTTGACAACTTTCAAAATGCCTTCATTAGTTTGTGGGTCTGTTTGAATATCGAACCAATTTCCATCATTTCCAGAGAGAATTAAATATTCTGCCAACCAATTGGCAGTGCCTTCTTCATCCAGATCAATTGCTTTCAATCGCATCAGTTCTGAATTTAAACAGTTTTCTTCAATACTTGCTGAGTACTAAAATAATAATTTTATAATCAGAGGTTTTTCAAAACAGAAATGATGTTATTAATGCATAGTTATCATTTAAAATACTCAAATCAACAATTATTTTAAACCAAAACCAAACTCCCTGCCATTGAGTTGATTTTGACTCCTAGGGACCCTATTCGACAGGGTAGACCTGCCCCTGGGGTTTTCTGAGGCTATAACTCATTACGGGAGTAGAAAGCCTCTTCTTTCCCCATCGTTATTAATAAAGGCCATAAATTTAATAATAAGTGTAAGACAAAAATGCATATAAGTTAATCAAACTCATTTGCATGAGCTCTATATGAAATTATGTTTCTTTAAGTTACTCTCTCCTTTTAGGTGAAAGATTCGACTTTTTCAGAGCAGAGTCAGATAGTAAATGTACTAGGCTTTATGGGACAGAGTGTCCCTCTCCCTGTTGTTAAGTCTACTATCGTAGCAGAAAACTCTCCACAGACAGCAGTGTAAGAAAATAACCAATAACACCAGCATTAGAAATGAGCATGGCTAAAGCCCAACTTTTTTTTTTTTTAAACTAAAATTGATGGCAGGCCCTGATTTGCCCTGGGCCGGGGTTTATGGTTCTTTTCATCTAAAGAGGAAAATGGAAGTTGAGAATGCTGTTGGAATTAATTTGTCAAACCATCAGGCATAAAAAATGTGCACTGGTGGTGTGACAGTGTTCTCAGAGGTGTATGAACACATTTCCACAAATTGGTGGTATGCGGATAATAACATTTTGCTTTCTGAAAGGCCCTGACACACCTGCTGATACAAATCAAGGATTTGAGTCTTCAGTATGGATTACCACTCAATGTAAAGAAGACCCAAATCCTCACAACTGGACCAATGGGTAACATCCTGGCAAAATGGAGAAAAGGGTGAAGTTGTCCAGCACTGTGTCTTGCTTCAATCCACAATTAGTGCTCATGGAAGCAGAAGTCAAGAGATCAAAAGACATGTTGCATTAGGTATATCTGCTCATAAGACCTCTTCAGAGCATTGAAAGGCAAGATGTTACTTAAAAGACTAGGGTTTGTTACCCAAGCCATGGTATTTTCAATTGCCTCACGTGCATTGAAAATTGGACATTGAATAAAGTAGACCGAAGAAGAATTGATGCATTAGATCTGTGGTGCTGGTGAAGAATATTGAAAGTACCATGGATTGCTAAAAGGACAACGGTTCTCTCTGGGAAGAAGTATGGCCAGAGCACTTAGACAAGGATGCTCCAGAGATAAGAATGGCAAGACTTCATCTTACATACTTTAGACATGTTGTCAGGAGAGACCAGTCCCTGGAGAAGGGCATCATGCTTGGTATAGTGGAAAGGGAGCAAAAGAGAGGAAGGCCTTTAAGGAGATGGATTGACATAGTGGCTGCAACAACAGGCCCAGGCATAGGAACAATATGGGGATGGTGCAGGACGTGGCAATGTTTGTTCTGTTGTGCAGAGGGTTCTTATGGGAACCAACTCAATGGCACTTAACAATATCAACAAGGAGATTCGAGTCTGTGCAGATATCAACAGCTTTTACAGAGAGCATTTGTAGAGAATCGCTTCTCAAAGACAAACGAGCAAAATCAAGGTTGTTATGCTTGACGCTTATTGAGTTGGCTCTGACTCATGGAAGCCTCATGTGTAACAGAGCGAAACACTGCTTGGTTCTGTGCCCTATTCGCAATTGTTGTTATGCTTGACGTCATTGTTGCAGTCACTGGGCCAACCCATCTCATTGAGCGTCTTCCTCTCTTTTCACTCTACCAATCATGATGTTCCCCCCGGGACGGATCTCTCCTGATAACATACCCAGAGTACGTGCGATGACGAACACATTCAACTTTCTAAGATTATAAATAAGAATCTATAAAGTAAAGCTGAGTACTTCCAGATATGTAACAGAGCCAAGATCACCAACTAGCAGGAAAACAAGGGGACTCTTGCCCCTTACCCACGAGGATGGATTCTAGGAGTAGACACTTACTGCCGTTTTCTCCAAGGTGGGGAAATTATCGTTGACGTCTAAAACCTTGATTCGACAGTCACAGTTGGCAGACAACCCATCTGGGGCACCATCCCGATCTGATCCACTCACAAAGAGAGTATACATGCTGTGTTCCTGAGTTGGGATGAAAAAGAATCATAAGAGTTTGGTCCTGTGTTGAATAAAATGTGACACATTCCGACGCTCTTATGTTTTATATGTGCACATCTCAAGTGAAATTGAGATTGAATTAAATTTTCATTGAAGAATCAGTTTCATTCTCTCCTTCCTTCCTTTACATTAGAGTAAGCACGCCCACAGATAATTTCATCATCCCTTTTTAAAATTGGGATCTTTTATTTCTTATCTTTCATTCATCAAGGGCTTTACCTCTCTGTCAAGAAAACTGGACATCGTGCGGACTTCTCCCGTGTATCTGTTCAGAATGAACATGGGTGCCCCTGCAGGCTCCTGCGAGATGATCTTGTAGGCGATTTTAGAATTCAGGTGGTTGTCTTCATCTGCATCTGTGGCGCTTAACTTTACTACCAGTGTGTCTAAACATGAAGACGGGGATGGAGAATGTTTGGGGGCTGTGTTAGAATTAGCTCAGCAAACATCCAACACAGGAAGGCAACTAGTTGGCCTTCTCTTTTCTCTCTGTTCTAGTTCTCCACGAGAATGCATTACCTACCACAAGTTTCAAGGACACCATTGTTTAAAAAACAATTGTGGTTTGCATAGCCGTGTAAAGTGTGCTTGCATCCCTTAATCATTTAATTCTTGCATTTCTATGAAAGATGTTGTACAGATAATATCCTCTTAGCCATAGGATAAATTAGTAGCAAAATTTAGTGATTTTCAATATGTGAAAAAAAAAAAGCAGCTCAATAGCCTCTCTGTATCAACATAAAGCCGAGGAAAACCAATATTGTCAGCTTGTTATCGGCAAGGTCTTGCTATGGATATTCTTAAAAACGAGGCTTAAGATAAACTATAGTTTAAGTAAATTTAACATTGAAATTGTTTATTGAGCATCTATATTCTTTATTTCCATGTATCCAGAAAGCATTGTAGAATAACACCACTTTACTCAACAGCCACACATATATAATTATTGAAAAGAAGTTTTTTCTGTCTTCACAGAAAAAGGCTTTCAATTACTTATAGGAACAAAAAATAGGCAACTCCCCAAGAACACTAGTCCACATGGCATGTTTTCCAGCTGGAATAGTTCCCTGGTGTTCTTTGCTTCCTAGCCAGGCTTCAAATAATAAAAATAATTTTTAAAATCTTCGTACAGAGAACCAGGGATACCCTGCAAACCGAAAGAAGCATGGCTAATGCACTTGTTCAGAAACTGCCCTCCAAGGAGGAGCTCTAGCGAGGCTGCCAGTGACGTCTCTGTCATCGCTCAGACTAGCTTTACTAGTATGATTGCCATCGGACTTACTCGCATCGCAGTTTTCTTCAATACTGGCTGTGTAGACATTTTGGGTAAAGACTGGTGGATTGTCATTTATGTCCATCACTTTGACTCTAAGTTCAAGAGGTCTTTCTAAGTCTTCACCCCGTGAATTTAAAGCCCGGCAGTAGATCTGTGGGAAGTTAGGGGAAGAATGTCTTTCTCAGCCAACAGAAATGAAATATAGAAGGGAATGTGCAGACACATTTTCTGTAAACCCCACTCTATTCCCATCTAGTAATGTATATATGACCAAACCATTCAATGACGTGCACACCAGAGGTCCTAACGTATAAAATCTTACACGTCCACATTCTTTCCATTCCTTCAAGGTTTTGCTTGGTTTTATACAAATCAAGTAATTCTCCTGAGATAATACGTCTTTTTAAAAGGAAGAACACTAATATGAATAAATTAAAATATACTTCTGTGACTTACCAAAAAAATTGGAGTTATCTCTCTATCCACCACTGAAGTGATGTTAATTTCCCCAGTCCGCGGATTAATGGTGAATACTCCATAAGGTGGTCGGTCGATGCCCACCCCAGAGATGCGATATGTAATCTTCTGGTTCACTTCACAGTCTGATCGAATCTGCATGGAAAATCGCTAAGATTGTGACCTGATTTCCAGCTCACCACGAATGTTAGACAATAGGGTAGAGAGTGTACCTCATCATAGCCAGATGCACTTGGAATAGAACCAGGTACCATGATTTAGTCCTTAGGTGACCTTGGAAAATTTGCTTAACTCCACCTTGGAAAATTTGCTTAACTCCACCAAGCACCAACTTAAAATGGCTATGATAGTGCTTATATAATCTCTCTGAGTTAGAATTGTACTGTAAAGTCTCATAGGGTTACTGTAGGGAATATAGGAGGTAAATTACATATAGCTCATTCCAATTCCTTGATGCTAGATTTGTTGTTAACAAACAAGACATAATTAATTCTCTGATGTTATTGCATAAAGAGAAAGAATTTGACAAAAGAGAAAGAATTTGACAGAAGAGATCGCAGCCAATACTATTTTAAAAATTATGTCATATTCATATTACCTTGCTTCGACTTGAGATTCAGTTAAAATGGTGGATTACATAAGGAAATAGAGTGTTTGTAAGTATGGGTAATATTTTTATAAATCAAAACCCACCATATTGCTCTGTCAAATAGATTTTATGACAAAAGTCTGTCATTTGGATTTTATTTTATAGTTTATATTCATTATTCATAAATTTAATCTCAATTTAATTTAATTTCAAAATTTTAAATTTCACTTATAAATGGAAGATTAATGCATTCAGTTAAATGTCATGGTTTGTTACTTGAGTACCTATAATTAAAGAAAAACATCTGGAAATTTGCACTTTCATTGTTTTTATCATAGCTGCCAATTCCAATTGATAGGGGCTTCAGATAACGGAATTGAACTTTTTGAAGGGTTTCCTGACTGTAATCTCTATGGGAGCAGACAAACAGGTCTCTTTCCTGCAGAGCTACTGGGTGGATTTGAACTACTAAAGTTTTTGTTAGTAATGCAGTGCTTAACTGTTGTGTGACCAAGTTTCCAAAGCTCCATTCTAATCCAAAGATAATTTTTATATAGACAATAATCCAGGAAACCCCCCAAGTAAAAATGTTTAAATAAAATATGCACTATGAGTGCAATAACAATAAATCATGACTGTGACTTGCATGGAAACAATAGAAATTTTAAAGATTTAAAAAATTTTGAGACCTTCTGAGAGAGACTATCTCTTTGTTCCTAGAGTATTACAAAACCAGTCCCCCGTCTGCCACAAATTAGACCTTTTCTTTTGCACACTGTTACACAATCTTTTCAGAACCTCTAAATCAAAGGCTCGATTAACAGTCTGGCTTGGTGGAACGAACTCTAAATATACTATCCCCCTCACATGAAAAACCCACAAATGAGCATCCTCTTGACCTTGATCATTTATTCCATTTGAAGAGCTTTTTTGGGGGGTAGGGGTAGGGAGGTGATGATGGAGTCTTCCACTGGCTTGATTGATGTTTGCTTTCGGGATCATAACAATAACACCATGTCTTCTCACCAGTAATGACCTTGGGAAAAAAAGTTTGGGTCCCTTTGGAGCTGTTCTTTCAAAGCATGGCATGTTTCCAGTCCAGGCACTTTTTGCTGGACAGTCAGAACCCAAGGCACAAATTTTACAGCAACCCTTCTGTTAAAATTTGCTGAACTAAGCTCCAAGATAGTCTGGATAACTTCTTCATCTCTTCAATGGTCCGTTGTCAGTCTTTCAGCACAAGTGTATGAATTTTTGTCCATTCGGGAAGTTGACTGATGTCAAGAACCCAGTTTGTCATCAGTTAACATTTTATCTTTTTGAAATGAGAAAACCTCTTGTATACTTAAGCTTTTTTCAAAGTGCTGCCCTTGTAAGCTGTGTTGATCACCACCACAGTTTCTGCAGCATTTTTCCTGAGCAGGAAACAAAATTTCACAGCGGCATGCTATTCTCTTAAATTGAGCGACAAAAAAATTCAGTGACCAGAGAGAAACTTCCCAGTCGAAGCCACTGGGTGCACTAAATCAGAGTGAGTTGTTCGATGCTGGTCTAGCAGGAAGAAATGTGTACTTTGAAGATCCACCCAGGGAAACTTTTTTACAGGTTTTTTTCTTTGGCACCCCCCTGTACTCCTTTCATGCAAGGAGGAAATTCTATTTGCCCACTCTATCATAAAAAAAGATACTGTTGATGTACTAGTGGTCCAGGTCAATGTGCCCCAAAAGAACAGGTTGAGCTGTGAATGTGCAAGCTACATGGATCAGTTTAAGTTTGTTGTTGTTGTTTCAGTTTTAAGATCTGCATACCTCCCTAAAGTGTTGTTCCCCTAACAGACTTGATTATTCTTTGGCTAAAAATTGACTCATGGGATTAATTTCCATATATGAATGGTAATTAAAGGGCATAGTCTTAGAGGTTCTACCAATTTCTACCTGAACGGGCAAATCTGGTCATTTAAAGATTTTGAGTATAGTTCCACGTTTGTCTCCCGCTCTCTCCAGGACTCTGGATCTGTTTCAGGGCAGTTGGTAGTGATAAGCTTGTCTCAGGTTGTGGAGACTGAAGTCTGCATGGTCCATTCCTCCATTGGAGCAACTGTTTCCATGCATATTCAATTATATTTATTCTCTTCCTTCCAGACAGGGAGAGACTAATCATTGCACCTTACATGGATACTCAAACGTTTTTAAGACTCCAGTCAGTACTCACCCGAGTAGGATGTAGAACATTGTCTTTGTGGACTAGGTCATGCCAATTGACCTTAGTGTCCCCTGAAACCAGAAACTCATTCCTCCAAGGTATTTGGTTATGTCTAAGAAGTTTTCATATCTTTGTTTATTACCTGTTTCTTTTAACTCTCTTTCTTTATTTCTAATTTCTCTATCTTTGTGAAGATCTTTTAGGAGTTTCTTAGATTTTGGATGTGAGGACCTCGTAAGAACTTTTAATAACATTTATACTTCAGCAACATGAACAAATGACTACACCCCATCTTTCAGAACCATTCTAGAGTGGGGTGTGCTTTCCGGTCCTGCACTTAGGAAATTCCCCCTTGTTTCATCACTTACTTTGGCAATTGGATTCCTCTTTGAGTTGTCTTCTCCTTCTCTACAAGCTGCAGCAAACTTGATCCACTCCCTTTTTTGTCTTCTGACAGTTTGCCATGTGGTTGTACCATTTTCCATGTCTAATTCTTTCACCTTTAGAAAAAAAATAAAGTTCTTATAGTCTTAGGATTTTTTTTCTTATAGCGCATAATCATATTAATTTAACATTGTAGATATACCCAGAAGAAACAATGATATTAGACATCAACCAATAAAATCTTTTAACTAATCTACTACTGAAGAAAAATGTAGCCTGGCCATCCCCAGATTAGCTATTTTTTTTTTAAATGATTTCACTTCTAACTACTTGATTTTGTTGAAACAAATGTGATTAGTTATATATAAAGGTAATAAGGATATATGTAATACTGTGCAATTTGTTGTAATTTTTCTTCTTTAAACTAGCTTCGCCTTGCCTACCTTATTTCTCATTGAGACATGACTAGACTTCACAGCTTCTAGAGTTTAAAAGATTGCTGGCGTCTCATGTGAGCACATGCCACACAAAACAAAAGTTGTGTTGTTCGTGAGGACACCACAGAGCGTTAGCATCCAAGTAAATCCTTGCAAGATAAAGTACTGGCTGAATCGATGACGCCTACAATCATCTCATAGCCACTGATATGGCTTCTCAGTGTTGCACATGTGCATCTCTGCTGGAGATACGTTTTCCCATGGTAGGTTTATATGCTGCCGTTGGAGGTTGTCTATGAATTCTCACTATGAAAGAGTTTAGAAATGTCACGACGTGCACGGCCATCACATACGTGTATGTGTAAGTGCTGATGCGCTTGCCAAGTACACTGATAGCATGTTGAAGCTCAGGCTTTATTTTAAACCCACCTGGGCAGAGCAGAGGTCCCATGCGAATGGAACCCACCCTTTGAAATAATGATACGAAAGTTCTGAAATACAACACACATGCTCTCTTCTTGTCAACAATAATAATTTTGTTTTTTCAAATGATTTAAGGTGATCATAATGATTGTTTAACAACAATAACAAAAAAGCCCTCCCAAAGAGTTCGGTAGATTTCTTTTCTGATACTACTCTAATAGGAACCAGATTCTCTGTTCTATTTAATTATGAGCACATATATATTTTCATATTTAGGATTTTCTATCTTTTCCTATGGATAAAGCATGAATTATCTGTCTTACTAATGTAAGAAATTCTCTTTCTTTTTTATTCTAAGTCTTTATCTTGCTTCCTTTGCTTTGCAATAGGTTGGGACACACATCAATAAACGGCTAGGATAGCTAGAGATGTAAGAGTTGCTAAATGATGAAATTGTCAAAAACTACTGTACAAGCAGGGGAATTAGAAGTCTGAAGGTCTTACTATTACAATTTTAGTTAAGTGGAGGTTATTTCTCTAACTTTTATCTGAATGACTATGGTGATATGCATTCTGAATCTTGATATATGATGCATTACAAAATTAATTTTTTCATTTGATTTTGCATTTAGAAAATAATTTTATTATACATTACCTCAACAATAAATTCACTGTTAACTTCCAGCACCACCTGTTAAAGAAAGCACAGAATTAGCTTTATATTATTATTTATATCTATATCTATCTATCAAGAGCCATATCTTACACTGTCTAATATATCCATTCACCTATAATCCTGTTGTTCATTCCCCTTGGGTGAGGTTATACAGTGATCATTGCTATCAGCTTCCCCTTCTCTCCCTCTGCACCCTCTCTTTCTGTACCCTCAGGAAACCGTTACTCCTATTACTTTTTCTGGGGGCTTACCTATATTGGTTTTCTAGAATTGAATGATCTTAATTTTACCAATGACCATATGCAAGTCTAACAAGGTTAATGAGGTAGAACTGAAATCATAATAGTAGGGTGAAGAAATGTTAAAGAACTAGAGGATAGTTACATGTTTCATCAGTGCTATACCGTACCCTGGATATATTATCCCTTCCTTTTGGCCCTTCTGTGAGGGACTAATTATTTAACAGGTGGGTTTTGGGTCTCCACTATATCACACTCCTTCACATGAATTTGGTTGCTTATTTTTCACCTGATACCTAATCTCATCAACACTTCATGATCACACAGGCTGTGTGCTTCTTCAACATGGGCTTTGTTGCTTTCCTGATAGATGGCCATTTGTTTAACTTCAAGACTTTAAGACCCCAGATGCTATATCTTTTAATAGATGGGCACCATCCACGTTCTTCACCACATTGGCTTATGCACCCATTTGTCTTCAGTGTTTGTGTAGTGAAGGTGACCAGTCTACATGTAGTGCCACATTGTAAGCATAAACCATTTTTGTCCTGAGGTAAGATTTAAGTAGAGGTCCAAAGTCCATCTGCTTCCTTGTTGTATTTACACACACACACACAGACACACACAAATACACCTATCTTTACATCTTTACATATATGCATCTCTCTATATATCCATAAATATATATTTTTTCTTCTTTCCTTCTGCCCCACTATCATGTTTACCCATCATTCACCTCTCAGCAATTTCTCTTGGATACATTTCTATTGATTAAACATGACCCAAAGTGCTCCACCCTCCTCATCATCTATTTTAGAACCTTTATTTTTCATCCCTGTCCATGCCATCAATGGCTCATGCTCCCCTCCCCACCTCCTTCCCTCCCATGCTGACCCCCACCCCCACCTGCTCTGGGACCATCAGTCGAGTTGCTGTCTCTTTGGGATTGCTTATCCTGCCTATCTTTTGTGGATAGACACCAAAGTTCTTAAATATATATATATAGTTTGTTAATTTTGTGGGAAATGTGGGTACTAAAAATGAACAGTAGAGACTTTTACCTTACAAAGGCTTTTAAACCATGAAGGAAGATAAACATACAACTTTAAAGCATGTCAGTTGGGATAACTGCTGTAACTGAGGTAACAGTGTGTTCAGTGGAAAGGGTGGGCAGATAATTGAAATGATCAAAGTTAAATTTTGAGACCTCCAAGAAGAGGAGGGGTTTGGAAGGATTCTGCAGGGGGAGTTTGTTTTGAGAGAAACCATTGGTGGGGAAAGACTTTTCCACCAGAGTCAAACCTGTCCAGAGACGCAAAGGCACTCGAGATCATCAGGGAGGAGTGAATGATCGTGTGCATTGAAAGGTGGAGGCAATGTGAAGAGTATGGAGACGAAGTTTGCAATGTCAGATCATGAAGTGCTTTGTGTTTGGGATGAAGGAGTTTGGACTGTGCTTTCAGCAAAGCCTGTGAGAACGAACGGAACCAGAGGAAGAGAGTAACAAAGAGAAGGGGAGCGGGGGGAGGGAAAAAGGAAAGCACAAAGCTGAATACTAGGGCAGGGAGGTTCTGATGAACAACCTGCTCCTTTGAAGAAGACCAAGAAATAATCTTCCATATGATCAGGTCCGTTGAACTCTTGTACCTGTAATTTTGATTCAGCCATTTCTAATCTTTCATCCACCCCCCCACCACTTGATTATAATTTTTCCTCCTTTCCCCCTGACTTTTCCCTTTCATCTCCTCTGTCTACTTCCACCATAAACCTTCTTCTCTTTGCTTCTAAATTGGTCATTTGAACATGGTTGTCAATATATATATATATATATATATATCAGCTTTGGAATTGAAATTCTTTCTCCTAATCACCATTCAGCCAAATAATAGAACAGATTATAAACTAAATATCACCCATGAGTGATATAATAATCCTTAAACAATTGACTGTGAGAGGCAAAATGGTCAACCTTTACCAAAAAGCAAAGAGGGAAAGAGAATTTAGATCAATGGAAATAGTGTAACAGAAGATAAATAAAGTGAGGGTAATGCCGATACCTTATAAAAATTGTCACCCATACACAGAACAATGTGTTTAAAAATTGTAAAGGGGAAGTCTAATTTGATATGTGAACTTTCACCTGAAACATAATAAGATATTACTTATAAAAATATTTCATGAAATCACTAACCCTTCGGTCCCCGTCAGACCTGTTGCCATTGAGGTGATTCTAAATCACACTAACCCTAAATGACAGAGTGGACCTGCCACACATGGTTTCCTGTACAGGTGGCCCATGATACATGGAGAAAAGATGGAAGTTATCAAAGATTTCATCTTGCTTGGAAAAGATGGAAGTAATCAAAGATTTCATCGATGCTCCTGGGAGCAGCAGCCAAGAAATCAAAGGACGTATTGCATGGACGCATGAGAGATCTTTAAAGTGTTAAAGAGAAGGGTGACACTTGAGAACTACATTGGCCCTAAGTCATGGCATTTCCATCACCTCATATGCAGGCGAAAGGTAGACATTGAATAAGAAAGACTGACAAAGAGTCGGTGCATTTGAATGATGGTGCTCCAAAGGCTATTGAAAGTACCGTGGACCGATCCAAGCAAACCAGTGTGTCTTAAGAGAAGCACAGGCAGCATGTGTCTTGGACACAGGATAGCAAAGCTCATCTACGTGCCTTGGACAGGTTATGAGGAGAGACCGTTCCCTGGAGAAAAACGCCATGCTTGGCAAAGTAGAAGGGCAAGGACCAAGAGGGTGCCCTTGGACAAGATGGATTGACCGGGTGGCCGCAGCCATGGGCTCAGCCCTGACAAGAGTCGTGAGGGTGGTACAAGCCTGAGCAGTGTCTGCTTCTGTTGTAGACAGGAGTTAGAACTGACTCGAGGTTCCTTCACAACACCAGCAACTATTGATGGAGACAGACACCCACGTCTTCTACCTGGGAGGAGTGGCCAGTGAGTCAAACTGTCAACATGCCCATTTGGTCAAGGGCTGAACAACCGTGCCACTGGGGAACCTCGATCTTATCACCGGTCTCACATTCCTTTGACCTCCTTGTGTCTTAAAACTTGAACAAAGATGATTAGTTCTACCTTCTCAAAAGCAGCATGTTACCTGCTTATTGGAGGATGCCACCGCCTTCTTGGTTCCTATGTGCCTTCGTCTTGCTACTACATTTAAACGATTAAAGCTTCCCTCTTTGCCAAACATACCATTCGGTCTCCTTTCTCGCTACTTCACTTCCACCACCGTATCTAATCTCCTCTTTCGGAACCTTGGCTCATGACCAACTTCTGCCACAACTACATACCACTAACTTCATCACCACCAACACTTCTTGCTTGTCCCTTTTCTTACCCTTCTCCTACTGACAGAATCTGCTCTGCACCCCAGCCCTGGTCTCTCAATTTCTCCTGAGCCTTGGCCTGGTAGAGAGTCCTTGCTTTAGTTATCTGTCTTCTGCCCCCTCCGTCAATGTCAGCAAATAGCCACCAGAGTCTGTGTTCTGCCCTTCACACTTCTTTTCCTGACCTATTACCTTGAATAGCTTCATTTCCTTCTACAGGAAATAACAATCTTGTTTGGACCAGCTTCACATCTTCATCCTTTCTATCTATCCCAAAATTTAGAAACACATTGACATTAAACAAATAAAATCCCTGAGTCACCATTTGACTTGAGTCATCAAATAAAATATGCAAGCCTTTTGCTGAATTCTCTGCTTCTAGTACCAGTACCTGCTGAATCATCTAGTTCTTTCTCCCCTAGGGGTTACTTTACTACCATCTGTACATCCTATCACTTATTTCCTAATGTTTGCATTCTCTCTTTTTCCGTGGCTACCTCATCACCTATGTTCAGGTTCTATGATGTCTTACCACTCACTGCCACGGAGTCAACTCATAGCAACCCTATAGGACAGGGTAGAACTGCCCCCGTGGGTTCCCAAGACTGTAATGTTTTAAGAGAATAGAAAGCCCCATTGTTCTTTCTTGGAACTGCCGGTGGTTTTCAACAGCCTACTCTTCAGCTCACAGCCCAACTGGTGACCACTACCCTACCAGGGCGCCAACTATGTGTTTGTTACTTGTGCGGTGTCTGACAGAGAATCACAAATAGCTGCACTGTGTTGCTCACCCCCCACCCCCACAATCAGTAAGGACGAGTGTAGCTGCAGAATCTCAAAGCTGTAATCAACTCAATAACTTAATTTTAACCCCAAAGAAATTATAGCAAGTCCTAACTGGGATTCTGTTCATAGTTCTACCAGAGAATGCGTCAGTCATTTCCAGGTATCAGTGGTAAGCATTGTCACCCTTGTTTCTCCCTGCGTGCAAATGGTCTGCCAGGATAGGATTATGTCTACTCAGCGACGTGAGAGTGGACCCAAGTCACCGTTCTACCGACCGGTTTATTGGCTCAGTACCTACCGCTTCTTTTGTATCAGCTGATATTATTTCACTCCTGGTTATGATTTTGCTTGTACTTCATATAATGGTAGTCATGGCACTAGAGAAATGTAGGCGTTTCTCCTGATTACCCCTAATACTATTTGACAGTGGTCTTCCAAGCATTTACTCATGAAAGCCTAAAAAAAAAAAATTGTGCAACTATGTGCTTTCTCCATTTTTCCATAGTGGTGTCTAAAAAATGCCATAATATACATGTGATGTTTCAGAGGATGACATTATAGAATTCTGTAAATATTGGCATCTAAAAAAACTCTGTGACACAATTAAATGCAGCCAACAGACTCTAAATAGCATAGTCATTAGATACACAATGCCATCTATTTAATTAAAATCAAGATGAATAGTTCCTCTGTAACAACCAGGAGTTCACCTTGATTTCTCTTTGAACTCTTATGTCCGATGGCCATTCAATAAGTCATAGTCTTCACAGGTTCATTCTACTTGAACATATTTTGAAACTTTGTATTCTTTTAAAAGTATTTTCCTACTTTTATTAAGCAGTGTACCAAACTTCTGTCTAACAAAACTATGTATATGTGTGGACATTCTCCTTTATTAAAATGTCTATTACTGTAAGTCTCTAAAGCCTCTCAAAGGAGGGCCGGCGGTGCAGTGATTGCCTGTTGGGCTGTGGGTCTCCAGGTCAGCAGTTTGAAGTCACTAGCTGCTCCCGGGGGCCAAGACAAGACTTTTTACTCCTAGGAAGAGTTCCCCTCCTGGAAACCTCCCAGGGAAGTTCTACCCTGTCCTGTAGGAGCTGACACAACAGCAGTGGCCCTTCTTTGGTATTGTCGTGCAGCCAAGTGTGTCTGCCCTGGGAGAGGGACATTTTTCCCCTTTAAAATGAGAGTTGGCAGAGAAAAATTAGCTTCATATACACAGATTAATTTGCAAAATACCATCTCCCTCTGCCCAGCTATCAAGTCAGTTCCAAGTTGTAGTGACATCGTAGGACAGCATAAGGCTGTTCCCTGAGATTTCCAAAACTCTAAACCTTTACAGAAGCAGTCAAACCTTTCTCCCAGAGAGCTGCTGGTGGCCTTGAACTGCTGACCTTGTGTGGTTAGAAGCCCAATGCTTAACTGACTGTGCTCCCAGTGCTCTCTCTCTCTCTTTATATATAAAGTTATCTCTCTTTGTATGTATGTGTATGTGTGTGTGCTATATAAGTTCTACTTAAGTTATCTTTCTTTGTGTGTATGTGTGTGTGCTAAGTTCTTTTGACCTTGTTCATGACTTCTAAAAGGTTGCTCTCAGACTGAAGAGAACCCTAGGGATTCTTGAGCCTAAGCTACGTGTCATTTTCTCATACTCGACACAGTTTGTTTTCAAGACCATGGCCATGGCCCTGTCAGACCAGCAGGACTTTGTTCTCTAGCAGAACTTAGATTGAGCAGATGGGGCCTCCGAAGACACCTTTCTGACATTTCCACTTGCAGCTCAGCCTCCGAAGACACCTTTCTGACATTTCCACTTGCAGCTCAGCTGACTGAGCTGAAGGAGGGCGACAAACACCAGGCCCTCTCAAATGCCTCACTTTATATGCAGATCCCCCTGAAGGAGCTCTGCAGGGAGGGACAATGCTTTTCTTTTTTATTTGAATCCCTGGATCCAAGATATATCAAACATTGCCAGGAAGCACTTCACAGTCCAAGGAACACCGATGCATGAGTGTTTGGGAAGAAACACTATCTTCCCATGAATTGTACAAAGTAGCCCAACTGTCTGAGTGTTATGCAAGCTGTGAAGAATAGCTATGGGCCCTTGGAAACCGGTTGTCCATCAGAGTTACTTTTTAGAGCACACCGTGGGCTAGGCATCACTGTGTTCTGTGACTTGGTCTGAGAGTCTAGTGAAAGATAGCCACACAAAATGCAAGTGGCTAAATCAGCCACCATAATGGAGAGTACTAGCAAAGGGGAGTTAGAAAAATGTGCTTTTGAGGGCGCAAAAGCAACCTGGAGAGATGTGTAGTGTCCTGAACATACAGCCAGAATGCTCTTTAAAGGGAGGATGGTGAAGCGTCATCTTACATACTCTGGACATGTCATCAGGAGAGACTAGTCTCTGGAAAAGACATCCCGAACACCCTTGAAAAGATAGATGGGTACAGTGGTTGTCACAATGCGCTCACACATAAGAACAATGGCGAGGCTGGCATGGGAGCGGGCAGGGTTTTG